AAACCAAGGTTGTCTTACCAAAGAAACTATATCCAACAAAAAATCCACCAGTAAGCAGAAATTGGTCAGCTGTAATTCAGATGACTCACGACTATCTCCAGGCCCAATCTGAAGTCTGGCATGCAGTGTTCTCCTAAAAGAACAAAATTTACTTTAGCAAGTACGTTCTCAAGTGATATAAGTACTTGGGAAACATCATTATCTTCTTAATGAGGGCCAAGTTAACAATGGGTCACAAACTAATGTTCTTGTGATGAAACAGTCCCTTTCCCCCAATACACTACCATACCTCTATTTGGAAAATTCTCAAAGCTAGTTTCTTAGGCCTAATATTTCCTTGTAATGCCTAACTTTTACTTTCAAGTTTTTATGAATGGATCTCACTTTCTGAGACTTGTTTCTCATTGCTTATCTCTTAGTTAAAATGGACTGTTTGCCATTTGATTTCTAAACTTAGGACCTTTGTAGGGCCGGGGATTTAGCTCAGCAGTTTGGTGGCCTGCCTTGCAAGCACAAAGACCCGAGTTCAATCCCCGGTACCAAAAAAATAAATAAACTTAGGAACTTTGTTTGTACTAATTTGTTTTCCTGGATTATCATCCTCCACTGACTTCATTTTCTTGTATCTAGAATGTTAACCGTCCTAAAATCAAATGTACCTCTTCCAGGAAGTCTCTTCTGGCCCAAGTAGAGAGTATTCCTTCAACAAACATTAACATCATATTAATCTTATATGACCATAGGTTACTCTACACTCTGAAGACACAAAAGAATATGACACCAATGGGCACAAAAGCTGGGATATTTTAGAAAGAATAGCACAAGGGAGTCCTAACATATAAAAGTTTATGTGTGCTCAGGTTAGTTCAAGAAGCATGAGTGTGAATTTGTGGACATACAAATGAAATGCAGTAGGGTAGATTGTGTGTGTGTGTGTGTGTGTGTGTGTGTGTGTGTGTATAGAAACACAGTTTCACACAGAAAGTGAAAATCAGGGTAGGATTAGGTGGTAAAAAGATACTCGTAAGTCCTCCTCATTCCTGTATTTTATTATTTCTAAAAGATATCTGCAATTTTAAACTTGAGACCTCTCTTCTCACGGTCACTGACTTCAATTTTATCTTCTATATCTGATACAATTTTAAACTTAATACTAGGGATATGCATATCTTATTTGCCCCATTGTCAGTTCTTTGAAGATAAGACTTTATATGCCTAGCACAGTGCTTGTCAGGAGGATGTTCAACACCAGCCAAGTGGGTATCCAAAAGCTTTCTAAGTTATTAAAGGAATTCATGTATAGCAGTATTTACATTTTTAATGACTTCTAAACATAGGATTATACATATTTACTTTTTTTCTACAAGCTCATGAAGCTTGAGAAACTAAATTGGTTCTTAAAAATGTTTTATCTAAAATCCAGACAGATGGCACTCTAGTTTACTAGTATTCCAGGGTTTTGGACTATTCTTTAGGCTTTCTATCTTAAAAGGTAGAGGACTTTATCACCTCAGTGATAATATGGGCAAGTTCTAATGGCTTTGAAAATATATAAGTGCCCAGGAGGTTGTTACTCAAAGTGGAAATACTTTTGGGAAAGTGTTCCAAGGCAGAAATATAAATTTGTTATTTTCTCTGTAATAAAGAGAAGCTAGATCCCTATAGACTAGAGAGGTATGAATCATTCATTTATGTTAATGAATAAATTAACTCATCTTTGAGCTCCCTTCCAATTCTAAGATGATATGAGCAATAATTTTTATATGGTAAAGTAACAAGGTAGAGTCAGATTATGGCTACTAAAGAATTAATAGTTCTCAGTAGAAGTAGAATGTATAAAAGAAAATTCTTGAATTTAAACAACTTAAAAATTAGCTTTAGATATTGAAACAAATGAATAGTTTAACTTACCTACAACATTCTTCAAACCAGCGTGCAACATAATCCCACATATAATAAGGTTCAAACGAATTAAAGAGAAGGTTGGCAGTTTTAATCAGCTCAGCTGTTTTCTTATTTTCCCTTAGTTTACTAAAGAAAAGAAAAGAAAAACTACGAGTATTATCATTTTTTTTTCAAATTTAGATCTGAGTGAAATTATCACTGAGGCAGTGCACATTCCTAGGAAGCTGCTAGAAAATATGCTAGCAAGAACACTGCAACAAATAATTTAAATCTGTTTTCATTCTTCTCTTACTTTATATGCAAGTATTCTTCCAAATTTGAGTCTTCATAACTCAAATATATAATCAAAATCAGAAATTAGCCTTATATAATAAAAATCACAAAAGAACAGGAAGATCCTTCTGAACTCTTAGTGCACAGTGTTAATTTGGCATTAAGTTGTTTTTTTTCCCATGGCACATATAAAGTGAGCCGTGATTTGGACAGTTTTGATTCTAAAGAATTTTGCTTGCTTATCTGCTGTTCAGGATTTTAACAGTTTATTTTGACCAGTTTCACTCAAATTATTATTCTTACCTTTAAAAACAATAATGAAAAGCATTATAATTGCAAATAGCTGTCATTACTAAAATACCATCAGAGAAAAATAAATTCTGTTATTTCAAATGGCTAACATTTTGTCTACTACCTATTTTTCTCTTCCTATCTTCTCTAACAAAACAATTGTATCTATGTCTATCTGACAGATATCTATATCTGTAGATGCTAGGGATCAAACCTAGGGCCTTGTATATTATACGGTAGGCGTGTGCTTTATATAGTGAGGTATTACAATTGTTGATAGCAGAAGTAAATACTCTATGGGCAGAAAATACTCTCAGGCAGAAGGCAGAATGAAACAGTAGTACTGCGTTCATCAACAAACTTATCTAAAAATACAAGGAATTATATAATGAAAAATCAAAAATGTCTTGAAGTGTTTTACAAGGAGACATCAATAAAATGCAAAATATCTAAAACTATTATAACCTTAGACTTCTGTCATAAAGACAGATGATACTAAAAGTGGTCTGTTTAAAGCAGAGAAGAAAAAAACTTTGTCAGTATGTATCTATCATTGACTTAAGAGAACAAGACATGCTAATGTTACATGACTTGTCCTAGACATTCGTAATAAATGTTAATATACATGTGTGAAAGAATAACTATAATTCAAAAAAAATTCAGTGGCCTTTCATTTGCCTAACAGTTATCTTTTTCAAGTCTTTTTGTAATCTATGATTTTGTTTTTGAGTGTGTTAAATGACCAAGAGGCACTACCCTATGAACAACCAGGACTGCTTAGCAAACAAAATACCATTATTAACAATTACCATTACTAACTGAAATGTGGCAGTCTCTTATAAGTTTGGTAAGTGAAATTAAATTTCTGGGGCCAATATGTTCACTGCTAAAATTTAGCTTTGTAAACTGGTGATGTGAAGAACCACTCCTGACCAATAGTGGCTGTATGGTTGTGCTTAAATTGCCTGTTTGAATGATGAGTGACTTATGATACTTCATACTACCAAAATACAGTGGAAAATCAGTTCTCATTAGATCACAAACTTTATATAAAGATCTTCATTTATTATAAATAAATACTTCAAATTTCATTAAGTGAACATAAAGAGTACAATCTACTTTATGAATAATAATCAGTAAAAACTTCTTTGTCATGCTTAATTTTTTGGTAGTCTACCTGCTTAATTGAGCATGGTCCTTGCTGAAGGGTGGTTCCACTTGAAGATCTAATTCTGCTTTGCATTGAGAATACAATGTTTTAAATACCTCAATCAGTACGTCTTCCAGAATTACAGGTCCTAAAATCAATATACAAAGTAAAGACAGTAATCAGAATGGGTAAATCATGATCATTTAAAAGTTATTTCAAAGAATGTTTTAAAACGAATATTTAAAATAATTTTGAGAAGCTAAATTAAACTTCACATTTTTAGAAACCCTGAAGCAATTGAAAATAATGTCCATTTTAAATACAGATATACATTACAGAAGTGATAGAATCAGAGAAATCGATTCGATCAGTTTATAGTTCTATTACCTTGGACAAGCTTTACTTCTTTGAGCTTTGGTTTTCTGTGCTTTTTTTTTCTGGGTACCAGGGATCGAACTTGGGTCCTTATGCTTGCAAGGGAAGCAGGGGAACCACTGAGCTAAATCCCTGGCCCTTGAGCTTTGGTTTTCTTATCCAGAATGAGGATAATAAATGTATATGACAGTTTAAAGGATTAAGAAAAGTATTTGGTGTACAGCAGTTTCCAGAATTCCATATATGCTACTGCTACTATTACTATTGACAATTTAATTATAAAATTGTATAAGGCTAAATTTTATTTGCTATAACAGATGCCAATTTCCTTTTAAAAAATTCCTCAGTGGGCCGGGGATTTAGCTCAGTGGTTCTGCCCGCCTGCCTTGCAAGCACAAGGACCAGAGTTCCATCCCCAGTACCAAAAAACAAAAAGAAAAAACTTCTCAGCTTCACTTACTATCATACAATACCTAAAAATAAACCTGTCAGAGCAATCAATATAAGTTGATATCCTTCTATTTTAAATATTTTATATTTCATTTTAAGATTTGGTGAATTTAGTATACCTGCTAAAATATCTGCATGTAACTTGAAAAATTTTCACATTATATTTTCATTTTATTGTTAATATCTGTCTTAATTTCTGTCTTATAACATATTTAGCCTTCAAGTAGATCTAATATGTAATTAATACACAATGGGAAGAAAGGAGAAAACATAAAAGGGGTAATGAGGAAGAGAAATATAACACAAATAGTTCTGCCCAAATCCTTAAATTCTGTGAACTCTTAGATTATAACAGATCATACGTTTCAATTTCCATAATTTAGTAAGGATTAAGAGAAGCTCAGTCATTTTTAAAATTATTTCTGTTACATATACAGTACATAGAAGGCATGAGGAATAACATATACACTGCATGTATACCTGTATCTTAACTTTCTAATCTTTAAAAAATTTTGAATCTGCATTTAAAAGCTATCTCAAAACACAGCAGTTTTTCTAATGACTTCACCTTATTTTTATTATGAAACAATACAAAACCATCACACATTACCTATCCCTTGGGATTGCTGTATATATTACCTAGCTCAGGTTTGTCCAGCAAACTGATTAAAATACGAAAAGGTTTTAGATCTTGCATTAGAGTGCTCTCTTCTCCAAATCCATTCACTTGTAAGATTCCCACCATTGCCTTTAAAAAAGAAATATGTACTAGTCATTTTGTAAATAGATTGAAATAATTTTTGCATAAGAAAAAATACTTTTAAATATAACCATATGTAATGCAGCTTTACATCCCCCATCACTTTTCTGAAGCATTCTTTCTCTGCTAGAAAGAAAAATGTTACATTTATCTGTCTGGAGAAAAAAAAAAGTGCTTACATTTCCCTAGGGAAAAAATGGAAGAGTCAAAAAAAATCAAGAAAAGTATAATCATAAGTATTGTTTGCTATCAAGATGAAAATGTTTAAGATCATGAACCCCAAACTATGCCAGTTCATCAAGGTAGCATCTGCTATTGCACAATTACTGTACCACCAGTGACTCCAAACTCAGTTTGTAACTCCATGCTTTTAAAAATGCTTCTGGCATTTTGAGACAACTTGAAAATAAAGGGAAATGAAAATAATATGAAATAAATATATGGATAATGTTAACATTTCCTTTACAATAACTATTTTATCATATTTAGATTCCTGCTAGAATATATAGGCCTTAGTCCACTTTAGGAAAAGCTCCAATGTTCACAGAGTACACAGATAAACAGCTGAACTATGTTTTAGTAAAGTCATAAAAACTACAAAATAAAGAAATAGCTCTAGCCTTACAAAGGAGTCTAGCTTATGGTTACTTATTTTATTTTACCATTTGCTGGTCACTGTCCCTTTTAGAAAGTGTTTGAATCTTGTCTCAACTATGAATTCAATTAAGGCAGGTCTGTGTTCTACCTAGTAACTAGTGGTAGGCAAATAAGCAAAGAATAATGAAAGCATTTATTACCTGCACCAACAATTCTTTTGAAAAGGTAGTGAAATAGTAAGTGGCATGTTCTTCAGGATTACTGTGTCTTGTACTTCTGGGTCCTACGATAGTACCGTTGTTATCAAAACCTCCATGGAAATAAATTGTAAATGAATTAAAATAGAATCCTCAAAACTGTTGTTCACTAAATACCAGAACAGCAATTAAAAACAGCACTAAACACTTACCAGTTAGCAGCCCATTCAATGTCAGCAAGAGAGATCATTTCGGATAGTTTAATAAAGGGAAACCAATTCAGTACATAACTATCATAGTATTCTTCCAGAATTACCTTGTCCTCCAGCCCCCATCTTACCACAGTAAAATAACTGACAACTCAAATCATCCAAGTGATACTGTGTCCTCTCGCGCTAGGGACTAAGGAGTTGGGAGGATAGGCCAAACACTGCCAAAAAGTATAGCTGACCAAAATGTACACAATGTTTTATTGCTTCAATGGGAGCTAGTGGTACTTACTAATCTTGATTCCTTTGATGACTTTAAAGTTTTAGAAACTGTCATTTTGATTATTAACTTAAGCCTTTTTTACTAATTTATAGTATAGAACCTTAACTTGTAAGAGGGAAAAAAATCTCATTATGTGTCCATATGGATTCAAATAACCTCTTCAACTAAGGTTTTGAAATTTCTTCATATAATACATCATTAATAGTTTATATTTTTCATTGTCCCGTTACACAAAAAGTTTTGGTTTTTTTCACTTAGAAAATACAAAACTTGATAATAGTTATGTATGATAAATTATTTCTCCATTTTTTTCTCAATTATGGCTACCTACCAAGAAGCCATGCATAAAGTCTTCGGTTCAGGGACATATCCCTCCTTAGAACTACATGAAGAGCTGCTGACAATATCCTGATCATGTCTGATCGAGTGGCCTGAAAGGATCAGGAATATGATTATACTTTATCACACAGAAAAGTACATCATTTTTCTTTTTTAATGTATAAAAATCAATTATAATCTCAATTAAAGGTATAAACACTAGACATTCAAGTCAGCTTTCCATGAAATAAGCAAAAGTGATCTAACAGTCCATTTATAGTGTAATAACAATCTTATTTTTAGAAATAAAATAATAAATTAGAAATACAATCAATGCTCTAAGTTTATTATGCAAGGCATGTACAAAGGTAAAGTGGGAAACCAGGATGACTATGATCCTTAATCTTAGGTAATCTAAAATTTTGATATAGGAATGGGGAGAAGAGCATTAGAATTGGGTAAGGTAATTAGTATCAGAATTAGAAGAGTATTAGAATTAGGTATCTACCTTTAAAACCATATTCAATATAGTTACTATTTTTATAAAACAAATTATAGAGGCTACAGTTTGAGAAAATCTTGGCTGGTAAGAATACAAAGCAAAGAAGTACTAAAGAAAGAAAAATGTTTAAAAAGGCCCAGAAGCACCAATCTAGGAATATTACAAATTAAGTTATTAGTTTAAGTCTACTAAGAATTGATTTCTTCACATCCCAGTGAGGAATTTAAGTGAGGAACTACTAATACTAATGATTTTTGGAGAGCAGACAGTTCAAAAGCAAGAGTCAATAACATTTGATGAGTAGCCAGATCATATACGTTTTAGGCTTTTGGACTACATACATTTCTTTGGCATATTCTAGTTTTCTCTTTCAAGCTTTTCAAAAACAGCATGGATTTTTTGGCTACTTCTGTACTAGAGATTGTACCAAAATATCTTAGTAGGGATTTCTGTGAAAAGCCAGAGGATAAAGGCCCCTTGTTAAAGGAAAGACTCTCAAAACAGAAAGTAGATGTGGTTTATGTCCCAATTAGTGGTAACACAGACACTGGAACATAAGTATCCAAATGTTGTTTAGTCTAATTAAATTTAAAAATTTAAATAACACTTAAATAGAGCAATAAAGAAAAACTGGATAAAAAATGAGAACCAAGACCTGGCATGTAAAGGTACAAGATCCCAGTAATGAATGTAACTATACTGTCTACCTAGAATGTACCAATAAATTAAATTTAAAAAAAAAGAAAAACTGGATAAAAAATGAGAACCAAGACCTGGCATGTAAAGGTACAAGATCCCAGTAATGAATGTAACTATACTGTCTACCTAGAATGTACCAATAAATTAAATTTAAAAAAAAAGAAAAACTGGATAAATAAAAATTAGCCAATTTTATGAAAATTCATTATAGTTATCTTCTAATAGTCATGAAAAACCCCAAATAGTTTTTCCTGCTAATAATTTTTTAAAAATAAACATATTTTTATGTTATAAATTCTGAATCACTTTTGTTAGATATTTAGTTTCACCATTCTGCCTACTTATCTTCTGATACTTCAAATCACTCAATGTTTGGGACTTAAAATTTTAGATTGCTTTAAAAAATGACATTTACTAAATTTCAGCAGTAAGGCACTTCATGACCAATGTGTCAAGTCAGTTAGTCTAATTTACAACAAAAGCACTAGCAAATATCAATGACTAAGTATTTTACTCTCAACTTACAGCCAATGCTTCTGAGATTCTGACTTGCATCCTAAAATCACCAAAGCAAGATAAGGTAACATTAGACATATGGGTACTGACTGGCTCAAAAGGCCTGCATCTCTGAATCTTGGCTTACTTAGAGTTACTAAGAAATATCTCTTCTTTATATAAATTAGAACTTTTTTCAAAGGTATGAAGCAATCTGTTTCAATCAACATATTCTTATCAAACCAATCTTTTTCTCAAAATTTTTACCAATTCCATTCCTTGAAAAGGAACCTATTTTGTACGCACTTACTGATTTGTAGATCAAAAAGTAGAATGCCTTTAAAAATAACTGTAATCACGAATCTGTAATTTTCTAAGAATGTCTTATATTAATATCAGTCTTTGTTTTACCTGACTCATGTGGAATGGAAAACAGAAGAGTATGAGGTCCAGTGTGCTTCTCTGTACAAGTACACTTGAGTCCTGCACTGAGGTACTTACTGCTTCTACCTGAAATAAAGAGTGTTTAACATCTATTGCCTATTATGCTGGGAATTTTTGTCATGAGAATGTTAGCTCATCATTTTTTCTAATAAAGTACTCTAAAGATCACAGAATGCTAAAATGGGAGGTTCTGATAGTTTTACATGAGGTCAGCCCCAACATATATCTATAAAAACATCCATATGCAGATGTTATTAGTAGCTTTACTTAGAAATGCTCCAAATGGGATATAACTCAAATTCCATTATTAACTGATGAATGAATAAATTGTGGTACTGTCACACAACAGAATATTATGTACCAATATAAGGAAACAAATCACTGATATACACAAAAGCATCTGTGAATCTCAAATATGTTATGAAAAGTGAGGGACACTGTACTTGAAGACTGTATGCAGTATAATTCCATTTATATAACTTTCTAGAAATAGCAAAGTTAAAGAAGCTGGAAACAGATTATTGTTTGCAAAATCCTAGAAGAACAGTGGAAGAGGACTTGACACAGAACTTTTGGAGCGATGTAATTTTTTGTGTCCTGATTGCAGTAACAGTTCCAGGTCTGTAGCTTACCAAAATTTATACAACTATATTTTTAAGAAGGGTTACTTTCAAAATATAAATTATACTTTAATAAATCTAATAAAAATGGTTTTGGTCTTTTTGGGTTTTTTTGTTTTTTTGGTATGGGGGATTGAACTCAGGTTCTTGTGCTTGTGAGGCGGGGGGCAGAACCACTGAGTTAAATCCATGGCCCTAAGCTAATTAAAAATCTAGATAGGGCCAGGGATTGGCTCAGTGGTTCCATTGCCTGTTTCACAAGTGTAAGGGCCTGAGTTCGATCCCTGGTACAAAACAAAAAAAAACTGGGCAAAAATCAGTCATGGGGAGAAAGAATAATGAGGACAAAAATATAAATTAAATATAAAATACATTCATATAACAATAAATATAGCTATGTTAACAGTGTAGTCTGATCTATAGAATAGTAAAAACAAAACTCATTACTTTGCCTAACAGATAATAGAGATGACAGATATAAATAACATCTTTTCATAAAAAATTAAGCTTTTAAAATCAGTAATTGAATTTTTAAAGTTAATAATTTAGCCTTTAGTTTTCCTTAATGAAAAAAATGAAAGCATTTTCATTACATGATCCTCAATATCCATCTGAAATAGTACATATCCCTAAGGAAATATCCGCGAAATGAGCAACCACAATTTTGAACCTACCATTAGCTCAATATCACTGCCGATTATATAAAGCTGATCTTCCATAGAAAGCTTCCTATTCAAATGGGCAAGAACATATGTGATTCCAGGCAGACGAACAGCAGGACTGGTAAGAAGACTACCCCAGAGGGCACTATAGAACGCTGACTGGTCCACTGCAGCAGCAACCTTTTCCAACAATGTATTTGTTCTGAGATAAAAAAATAAAATGATGTATGAGCAGAAACATTTAGTGTATTTTAAAATAAAGATACCGCTATAATCTTTCAAATAATATACCATCAGTCTTTTCAAAAATGTATAAAATTATCTATGCCACAGTCATCTTTGCCTGGAAATAAATGTGCTAGTTTGGAAGAAGAGTATACTTTTACAGTCAGAGGACTGCATTTAAACCGTAACTCTACCATTTACTAGCTGTGTAATTTGGGGAAATCACTTCATCTTGCTACAGTTCAGTCTCTTCATCTCTAAAGTGAAGAGAATAAAAAAATACCCATCAGAAGGCCTATCTAACCTCACTAGGTTGTTAAACCACTCTAAGCAATAAAACACCATGTATTAATTTTTAGGTAATAGTAATGCTATGGTAGAACATCTGTTGATTTTCTACAAAATCTTAAATCTATATTTTCAGTATAACATATTTCTAAATTTTTTTTTTTTTTTTTTTTTTGGTACTGGGGATCGAACTTGGGTCCCTGCGCTTGCAAGGCAGGCGGTGGAACCACTGAGCTAAATCCCTGGCCCTGTTCCTTTCTTTTTGAAATTGCATATCATATAGTTAACAATGATATTAATGAATTAGGCCTATGACAAAATGAAAGATGTGTTACTGTTTTAAGGACTACATTAAAGATTACTTTTTGTTTTTAACAATGCAAAGCATAACAGACTATTTCACTGCAGTATTATGGAGTCAGGAGAATGAGTTTTAATTGCTGTATGGCTTAATTCTTCTGGTCTCAAGTTTATGGGCATTAAAACATTTGTGAATGCTTTTATAGACTATGTGTGGAATAACAAACAAGCTATACGATAAATCATGCGATACTTCAACCATAATTATTTAATTTGTATATTAAATTTTTAATTCTAGCTAAGTTAGTACCGTACTAGTACTGTACTAAGGGATTCTGTACTTCCCTTAAGAAAGTAAAACAAAACAAAATAAAGCAAAATTGACTTCAAAGCTGAATACTTTTTATTATATTTGTAAAATTTTAAGCAAATAAATAAAATAGTTAATAAAAGTAAATAAACTTTTAGGACAAGTTTTTTTGTCAGAGTAGCCTAAAAGGGTAATCTAGTATTTTCAGAAATTGATTCCTATTGCATTATAGGAACAGCTGAAGGTACAACAAAATCGAGTAACTGGTCAATGTACTTAAATAGATTATTTAAATTTAAATAGGTGTACTTATAAATTAAATTTGGGAATTTCAATTTTTGCAAACAACTCAAAATTTCTTTTTCTTGTAAGAATACTTAAGCGTATCATACACTGTCTAGAACTCTCAAAAAGTAGTAGGCTCTAAATCAGATCTTATCATTTTCCTTGAAAAGTTAAAGTTAAAAAAAAATACATGTCAAAATATAGTAAAATAGCACTGTACTTGGTAGTGGACTATTTTTTCCCATGAGCAATTTAAAATCAGTCAGCTTATGGGCCACTTTTCCATTCTTCTCCTTAATCTAAATGTCTTATCTGTTTTTGAATGACTTATGTGCAAGGTACCACTGTACTAAGTGATTTCATTACTACAGCAAAAAAATGAAATAAATATTATGCTTTTTTATAAATTAAGAAACTGACTACACTTCAAAAATGTTAAAAATACCAAGTTCACAGTGTCTGTACAAATGCTGATTTAAGCCCAGTCACTCTAGTCTGTGATTTTACCACATATATGATACACAGTATAGCATATTTTCAGTATGATACACAGTATAGATATGTATAAATTTATTGCTATTGGAATCTTAATGTTATATATTGGGGTATCTGTACTAATTCATTTTTGTGATGCTAAAAGAGATTTATTTAAAGATGCTTGCTGACAATGCCATCGATCAGATTACATAGCTCCACCAAACATCATTTTACCTCTCATAGTATTCTGATCCTTCTTCTAAGCCAGGGAGAATGCCAGTTAGCAATCCTTGTAGACCAGGCTTCAGTGTTTTACCCAAAGGCAAGTAATATATTTCATATAAACCGAGTAGTGTTGGTTTCACAGACATGGCAGCATTTGCAAGAAGAGGAAATAATCCAGAACTATTTATAAATTTTTTTATAAAGGAGAAAGGGCAAGAAAAAATTATGACAAAATGTTAATTGTATGCAATTGTATATGTATATAAAACTTATTTTTTTGATGAAATAAGTTGTACTGATTAACTTAAAATGGCATCTGTATATTGATAACTTCTATGAGGTGTGATAAAAACTGTAGTTAATATTTAAATTTTTAAAAATCTATTAGAGTAAAAGACAGATTACATTAATCCCCCTCAAAATATATCCTCTTTTTTTTTTTTTTTAATTTTGGTACTGGGGGATCGAACTCGGGTCCCTGTGCTTGCGAAGCAGGTGGTGGAACTACTGAGCTAAATCCCGGCCCTTATCTTTTAACTCACATATCCCACTGTTCTTGTCACTTTCTGAAGCAGTTCTGGAAGTCCCCTTTTGTGTCTTTAATTGTGCTGTCTTGGCTGGTTCAATTTCCTGAATCAATTCAAAATGTTTACCTCTTATGGTCATTCTGGCTTTAGGGAAGAACTAGAAGTTGCATGATACCAGATCCTGTGAATAAGGAGGGTGAGGAAACAGGTAGTGTTTTTACGACCCTGTCTGTCCACCTGATGGCACTCAGAAGCACCACTGACTATATATATATATATATATATATTTTAGTACCTCAAAGACACTCATGAAAGAGAACTTCCAGAACTGCTTTAGAAAAATGGGAATAATGGAGATAAATAAATTCCAGGGAAGGGGGACTAATGTGAGGGGGATTAATGGCAATGTATATTACTGTGAGAAAGCTTTTTTAATTAAAAAATTCACCGTATTTTGTGATCACACCCAGTATATCCATTAAAGACAAGTTCTTTCACCTGAGTTTCACATTCATAAGCCCAGTAGCTACTTAGTTGTTTCAGAAAGGCTTAATATTTCACAATTCTGAAGCAGAAGTTTTCCCTTCTCCCTCAAAATCCATTCTTTCCCCTGTAATTGCCAATTCAAAATATAACATCACTATCTAGCTGGCTAGCCAAAGGCTATACATCAGAGAGCAATTCTTAACCCCTTTTAAAAATTGTCTATTCCAACCTTCAATCAATCACCAAGTGCTCTCACTCTAGATCTTTTTGAACATAATAAATTTTATTCATCTCCAGATACTTATCTAGAAGAGATCTCCATCTCATCTTTATCATCTTAATAGGTAGCAGTACTTCAATACTGATCTGAAGGATTTGTACTCATTAAAAATCTCAGTGATTGGGCCAGGGATTCAGCTCAGCAGTTCCACCGCCTGCCTTGCAAGCGCAGGGACCCGAGTTTGATCCCCAGTACCAAAAACAACAACAACAACAAAACAAACAAAAAAAAACAACTCAGTGATTAAGTAATTGCCTGTGGCACCAATGCAGCTTTTAACATTTTTTCTAAGATTTGGCTACTGCACACCACTATACACCCTGTGTATATTCAAAATTTAATTCCTGCATCTTCTATTACAGGTATACTGATTCCTTGCTGGTTTGTTTCAGAAACCTTCCATACACTTTTCAGGATTTTCGCAAATGCTTTTCATACAGAATACAAAATTTACTTATATCCTCTTTGTATGTCTTTAACATTTTTTCTAAGATTTGGCTACTGCACACCACTATACACCCTGTGTATATTCAAAATTTAATTCCTGCATCTTCTATTACAGGTATACTGATTCCTTGCTGGTTTGTTTCAGAAACCTTCCATACACTTTTCAGGATTTTCGCAAATGCTTTTCATACAGAATACAAAATTTACTTATATCCTCTTTGTATGTCTGAATGATCCCTAAACTTCCAGGTCGCGGCCTATGTCTTTTTTTTTTTTTTTTTGAGGTTGTCTCCCAATTACACTAGATTTAGGCCTCTACTTTTTGTAACCATAAAACTCAATATTGCCTTATTAGAACATTTATCATTGTACTTTAATTAATGCCTATATTCTCCAACAAACTATCAGAAATGAAGGGAGTGTAACTGTCCTTTCATTTCTGAAACCAAATACTAGTACCATGCCCTGAATTTAGGACACACTTAAAAACTGAATGAAAAATCTGTCTTGTTTCTAGGCTATACAGGAAATAGAAATTATTTTCAGTTTCCCACTGTTTCATCTCTAATTTTAGACAGTTTGATCTAGGGCTATATACTTTCCAGCCTTTTCAAGGTAACTTCTTCCATGAGCCTCAGGTCTCATGTCTTGCTTTTGCCAGAGACCATATTCATTCATTTTCTTTTTGTTTCCAATAATTTTTTTCTACTGACATTTTTGCTATTCAACACAAATGTACTGAAAAATTTCCCCATGATTCTGAAAAGAGAACAAATAATAACATCTAAATCTTCAAACCTTTATTTTTAACTACCTCCTAGCTTGAAGCTGCCACACTCCCTATATGAACTTTTAGGGCAGTTTTTAACATAAGTGTGTGGATGTGTGTAGACACATATAAACACACTATATGCATTTCTTCTTATTTATCATCTTCCACCTAATCTCAAAGACAAAACTGGTAACCATGGATGGGAAGAAATTCAAGGCATAGGTCAAAGGCTACAAGGTGGCCAATAAGTAGAATGAAAAAGTTTAAGATTTAATGTACAACATGAAGACTATAATTAAAAATATTGTACTTGTAGTTTTTACCACATGACTTTGGTTAATCTTGCCACAAAAAACAAAAACAGGGTAACAATGTGAAATAATGTATATGTTAATTTGCTTCAGTAGTGCAAGCATTTATTATCTTTATATGTCTTATAATATCATGTTGTAAACCTTAAACATGTACAATAAAATTATTTTATAGAGATACACCACGGTCAGGGGCTGGGGATTTGGCTCAGTGGTTCTGATGCCTGCCTCTCAAGTGCAAGGTTCCAAGTTTGATCCTTGGTACCCCCCCCACAAAACAAAACAAAAAACAAAAAAATCATGGGCATAGATAGTGTTGGCCAAGGAAAGGATATTAAGTGAAAACATAAGAAGGGAGAGAACTAAGTATGCCCTAAGAAAATGTATTTTGAGTTTCGATAAAGAAAGAAAGGCTGGTAAAGGAGATTAGCAGGCCGGGAGTAGTGGCGCATGCCTGTAATCCCAGCACTTGGGAGGCTGAGGCAAGAGGATCATTGTGAGTTCAAGACCAGCCTGGGCTACATAGTGAGTTCCAGGGCAGTCTCAACTACATAGTGAGACCCTGTCTCAAAAAATAAAAAAAATAAAAAAAGTAGATTAACAGTAGTAACTAAATAAAAAAAAATGAGGTTTTGTGGAAATCAAGGGAGAAGACTATTTTGAATAAATAATGTTGAAAGCTGCTGAGAAATCAAGCTATCTTGTTTTTCTCAGACTAGTTTTCAGGCTTTAAAGAGCAGAATGTTCTCTTTTAAATGAAAGCTTTTCATACATGACCTCTAACTTAAAAAACTTAAAGAACTGTTCTAAAGTTTTCTAAATCACGTAATATTTATGAGTGCCATCAAAGACATTAAGATTTTTAGCACAGAAAATATAAAAGTTTTGCAATATGTTTTTATTTCTATTATATATAAACAGATAATGAAATTCTTCTTACCTATATAAAAAAAGATCTTTGGCAAGTCGCTTAGGTCCAATGATTTTGAAGATAATTTCATAAGTTTCAAGTGCCTTCCGATGAACACCACCTGGTAACGCTGGATGTAGACATTGAGCTAGGCGTTTGCCTATGGTCAGTTTTTTGGGTACTACCTGGTACTTCGCATTATTTTGTAGAACCTTGAAAAAAGTATTTTAATGAAATTGAAAAAAATTTATTTCCTTTTTCTAGCAGAGTACTGCAAAAAGTTATCATTGTAAAGTTGTGTCAATCACACCTATCAGTATATATTTTGTTTGAAGATTTAACTGAGAAAAATAAAATTATTTTGTTTTAGATTTTGAAAAAATTTAATTTCCGGCATAAAAGAAAACTGTGTGCATGCGCACACATGTAGTGGTAGTCGTGGTGGTGGTACTGGGTAGTGGTTATGGTACTGGGGATTGAACCCACAGCCTCGCTCTGAGCTATATATCCAGCTCTTTTTAGAAGGTGTCTAACTAGATTGCTGTGGCTGGCCTTGAACTTGAGATCCTCCTGCACCAGCCTCTAGAGCTACTGGGATTACAGGCTTGTGCCATTATGCCCAGCTAAAAACTGTTTTCTGTCTGGTATTTTGTCTGAAATATATGAAGAAAATCTGACCTCAGCATACTCTGTTGGTGGAGGTATAAGCAATGTTCTAGCAATGTTCTAGAATATGACAGCATAAAAAGTAATTTAATGAAAATCTACATGAGACTACAATTTTTTATTTGTCTTCACAAACTTCTCAATTAGACAAAACAAATTTTGCTTTACTTATCAGAGGATTTCCATTAAGAAGATCCAAGATTAGTTATTTATAATGACAAAAAGTTCATCTAAGTCCTTGAAGTACCAACAAAGTAAAATGAAGACTCAGAATGAATACGGAATATACTAAAACTTTGATAAGAAATATAAAAAAGCCCAATATTTTACAAAAGAAAAACCTGAGGCTGAAATATAAAAAATGGCCACCAAAGGCAGTACAGTAGAAGTCAGAAATAAACCTCCTAGTTTGTTATATTTATATTAGAACATGTATTTAGGCTATCTTTCACAACCTTACCTTATTCCACCACAAATTTACAAAGCTTTGTCATTGACTTCTTAGGTGTCTTACTTTGTGTCAACTGGATATACTGCTGTTTTCATATTGATTAATCTATAAAAACTATGTATTTAATTATGTGAATTAACTTTTATAATTTAATGAATTACCTTTAAAAATAGTTCCTAGTGAGAACTCGTCAGAAAGAGAAAGAAACTAACTACCTTTAAGCAAACTTGCACTTATGGATACAATTTCTGGTGGATGTTGGAAAGAACAAGAATTTTTCAAACTTCATATAATAAATACAAGAAGCTAACATGTCAAACAGAAGCTTGTATATCTAATTTTTTTTGGGGGGTGGTGTTGATATAGGATCTCGCTACGTAGTATAGGCTAGCCTCAAACTGTGGCCATCCTCCTGTCTCAGCTTCCCAAGTGCTGTAATTATAGGTGTGGATCACTGCACCTGGTTTTGTGTATCCATTTTTAAGCTAAGTCCTCAACAAATTGAAAATGAGAGCTTTTATTTTTAAAATATGAAGATCATTATCTGTGGTTTTAGGTTCAAAACTAGTATCCTTGATTTGTACTATGTGACAAGTTTCTTTGCTAACAATTATATGCTAAGCTGTTTGATTTTAACACAGTTATTATAAGGATATTCCTTTCCTATCTAGCCCTTTTAATATTTAGACACAGTCTTTGTCAACAACAACAACAACCTCAAAACTATGGGCGTGAGAAAACTAATCTAAATTAAACAAAAACATGGTCAAAATGAAAAGCTAAGGGTTAATCAGTGATGATACTATGGATAAAATCCAACCTATCAAGAAGGATCATTCAAAGCCAAACTTCAAGGCACGAGTGACTGTATATAGAATTGCCTTTGTGAGAAACAAATCAAAACAGTACCACCACAACCAACAACCAGAATCACAAACTAAGACTTGCCTGAATATAAAATGTTTCCTTGCTGCTACCTACATATTATTTGGAAAGGAGACAGCAGGGACTACTTTCTATTTGTTGTTTTATGTTTTGGTACCAGGAACTTCAGAAGCCTATGTGAGGCTTACAGAAACTTAGCTCTAAAGGTTAGCATCTCAGCTTCATAGTCTTTCAGTTTTACAAGTAAAAATTACTTTTCAAGCACTGCTGTTTCTGTGAATTAGAACTTCTGAAGTGTTAACAATATGTCTGACTATATAATCATGCAACTCATGAAGGAAAGTAACATTACAAAAATTAATCTAAGATTTATATTATCCTATTTGAGATCTAGAGAAATTCAAAACTATAAAAATAGAGTTCTAAGTTTTATTCCTTTTAATACTAGATAAGACAAACATACCTTGTTAAGTTTTCCAAGTGCTGATATCAAATCTGCCCATTCACTGGAGTACTCAAAATTCTTTAGTGCTTTATCAATTGCAGCTACATAGTTTCTGTACTTGGAGTCACTCAATAACTCCAGCTCTTCTGTGTTCATCCTCCCACAGTGTCCTATTAGAGACCAGTTCCAAAGTCATGCAACGTCATTACCTACAAAAATATTTGCAGGAGGAACCAGGGTTACAAAGTAAAGCACTGAAATGGGTTGGTATAATCTTGCTAAAAAAGTAATGACTAATTTTATGTTCTTAAATGAGAAATGGCCAAAATTTTGGTCAGCTAGTGTGCAGAATGATAGAAATATTCAAAACCACCTCAAAGATACCTGGGCTGGGGATTTGGCTCAATGGTTCTGCCACCTGCCTCGCAAGCTCAAGGTCCCAAGTTCTATCCCCAATACCAAACAAACGAACAACCTCAAAGATACTTATCTGTGTGCTCCTTCCTGGAGACTTGAATTATAACTGTGAGAATTTAGGGATACAAAAAGGAATTTTCCAATACTTCAATTTAGAAATATTATTTGTCACATCAATAGAAAATTCTAATATTGATAGAAATTTCTAATTTCTACATACCCCTCTACTTTGTTTGATTCAGAAATATAAGTAAGACTGGTTAGATTAAAAACATTAAGGACATGGGACAACAGAATGAATACTTTCAAGATCATCATGTAATAAGTGAGTACCAAGTATGCTAGCTGTTTGAAATTAGATTTTATTTTGAATAAAACTGACAAAAATATGTGATGGTTTAAAATATGTCCACAAATTCTTTGATAATTTTTTCAAAAAATGAGCCTAATCTTCCAGCTTTTTTTTTCTTTTTATTGAGTTTATTGGTACAATCTAGGTATACAATACAGTTACATTCATTACTGGGATCCTGTATCTTTACATGACAGGTCTTGGTTCTCATTTTTTCCCCATACCCCTGCCCTCCCTTCATCCCCTCCTCCCTCCCCATTTACAAACATTTTATTTCCATTTTTTCATTTTCTCATATTTTTTTCTTTTCCCTTATTACCTTTCCCCTACCATTCCCACTTTCCCTACACCTTTAGCCCCTTTCTTCCTATTTCACACTATTAATTATCCCATTAGGATCTTGTGTACTATTATAGTTATTCACACCAGAGAAACTATTCCGTATTTACACATGCATGACTTATTTATTTCACTTAAGAGTATATCCTCAATATGTATCCATTTTCCTATGAATGACTCTAATTTCTCATTCTTTATGGCTGAGTAGTATTCCATTTTATAGAAAAACCACATCTTCTTTATTGAGTTTCCAACAGATGGGAAAATGGGCTGTCTTCCAGCCTCTTAGACTATATTTTGTGACTCAAATTAATGAAAAGAATAAGACAGGTGAGAACATGGAAAATAACCATTATGTAGTAAAGGAGTTTCAGTCTCCTTATTACTCTCTCTTAGCATGGGGCCTGGGGCAAGCCAACTGCCATTTTTTAAAGTTACTTCATGGAGCTCAATGGAGAAGTCCCTGGGGTGAGGAATGGAGGCTTTCTGTCAGAGTCAGTAAGTAAGCTACCTTATCTTAGAAGCATATTGTTCATCCTCAGCCATTTCTTGATTGGACTAAAAACCCAAATGACATCTTGACTGTCACTTCAAAAGACTCCAAGTCAGGCTGGGGATTTAACTGAGTGGTTCTGCCGCCTGCCTTATAAGTGCAAAGTCCTGAGTTCCATTTCAGGTGCCCCCCACCAGAGTAAAACAGAAGACTCCAAGTCATAATTACATAGCTAAGTCTTTTAAATCCATGACCAACAGAAAATTTTGTTTTAAGCCACTGAGTTTGTTAGACATCAGTACATAATTAACAGAATAGCAAGTATTTAATTGAAGCTGAATTTAAAATCTAATGTGTCTCCTCCTCTACTTTTTTTTTGTATTCTGTCTGTCTTCTAATTGCGCAAAACTTTCCCTAAAGAAAGGTTCAAAGATCTGCAGCCAGGTCTAAGAATGAGCCTCAAAGGATACCAACACAATTCAATGGGATTAAGAAGAATCTTCTCAGTAAGTGGTTAAAGGTAAGTGAATGCTACATGTAAAATATGAATTTGACTCCTTTCTCACACCTATACAAAACCTGACATAAAATGTATCACAAATCTAAATGTAACAAATTAGATAGATACTCTTACATGAAAATATAGGACAAAATCATCTTGACCTAAGGGTAGGCACAGTCTTTTCAGAAATATAAAAAACAGAAGTAACATAAGAAAAAAACTTGTTTTTCATCAAAATTAAAACTTGTGCTGTAAAGAATATCACCAAGAAAGTAAAGACAACTGATCCTTGAACTAGATACATATAGAACTCGATACATATAGAACTCGATACATATAGAACTCAATAATTAAAAGATAATTAAAAAATGTATAAAGGATACTACTAGACATACAAAGAAAATACAAAAATAATAAGTACACAAAGTAACACTACATCATTACTTATCAGAGAAATGCTCATCAAGATAACACTTCAGGGCCTGGGATTTAGCTCATCGGTTCGGTGGCCTGCTTCGCAAACGTAAGGACCTGAGTTCAATACCTGGTACCACAAAAAAAAAAAAAAGATAACACTTCATACAAGATATGGAGAAACTGGGAAACACTTTGGGAGGAAACAAATTGGTCAGCTGCTTTGCATAACGAAGTATGATAGGTCTCGAAAGGTTAAACATGGAATTAGTATAGGACCCAGCAATTATACTTCTACATATGGTATAGATCCAACAGAAATGTAGAACACATGTCTGCTCAAAACTCTGTATAAGAATGTTCATAAAAGCATTATTCATGATAGCTCAAAAAGTGAAATAATGAGTATTTATCAATTGATGCATTGTTAAAGTACAATGGAATGTTATTCAGCTATAAAAAGAATGCCAATATTAATACATGATACAATATATATGAATCTTGAAAACATGTTAAATGAAAGATTCCATTCCAAAAGACCACACATTTATAAAAGTTCATTTATATGAAATGTCTAGAATAGACAAGTTTAAAGAGAAAGTAAATAGTACTTGTTTAGAGTGAGGGGAAGAAAAATACTGAGTGAAAATAGGAAGCAAATTCCTAATGAAGGTGGGAATCTTTAGGGGATGATGAAAATGTTCTAAGACTGATTGAAGTGATGGTAATCCAACTCTGAACATACTGAAAAATACTGAATTTATACTTCAAATTTATACATACTTCAAATAGGTGAGATGTAGGAGATGTGTCTAGTATCTCAATAAAATTATACATACATTCATAAAAATAAAGGGCCTCACAGACTTGTGACTTAACTAAAATTATATGTAAAATCAAACCTAAGAATGTACTGTGTCATTCTAGATGAAGTGAAGCACAGGCATAAGTTTTACTGACAGGGACAATTTTTTTTCTTTCCTACATAAGATTTCCAAAGTAAGATAAAACATCCACTTTGAAAATATATAATAATCAGTGCATGAGATCAACCTGAAAAACAATTTTGTTGTAATTTGTAATGATGAAAATAGGAGTCATTTCCAGATAACCAGTGTAATAATTTTGAAACAATATTACCTCAATAGATATAGTACAGATAAATTTTTTTTTTTTTTTTGGTACCAAGGATGGAACTCAGGTCCTTGCGTTTGCAAGGCAGGCAGTGGAATCACTGAGCTAAATCCCTGGCCCCACATAAACTTTTTAGTATAAAAATGCCAATCAGGCCGGGGATTTAGCTCAAGGGTGCCACCACCTGCCTTGCAAGCGCAAGGTCCTGCCTGAGTTAGATCCCTGGTACAAAAAAACAAAAAGCAAAACAAAAAAAATGCCAACCAATAATAATCAGCTAAGTTTATGTGTTTTGTAACTATTATGTTTCCATAGCTATAAAGCTGAGTCAACTAAGAAATTTGGATTTTATTTAGCCAAAATTTCTAAATATTTTAAAAAAAATTTTTTTTGGTACCAGGGATCGAACTTGGATCCTTGCGCTTGTGAGGCAGGCACAGAACCACTGGGCTAAATTCCTGGCCCTAAATATTTAAATATTAAGGATTTCAGCAGTTCAGGATATGATACTCAGAGTATTAAAAGTCAATTCTTATGAAAACAGCTGAAAAAAGGGAAAAAATATTGTAAGTTTTAAGAGCAGAGCTGCAAATATATACATATATATATAAAATCTTTAATATAAAAAGAGCCTAGGAATAAATATCTGATAATTTTAATGCAAATATAATTATTATATATCAGAAGATAAAATGATGAATTACTTTTGAACCTTTCATCTAATAATAATATAAATCCAGTTCTCAGGTATTATTTTTTCTGCATAGTTTAGTATAAAACCACCTAGGTCAGTATTTCTTACAGTGCCTTCAGTGAAAAACCTAATAATTCCCCCCAGTCTATCACTGACTCTTTTCTAAAATATAAAATGTTTTGTTCCTGCATCACAGCCAAATTTCCAAATATAAGTGTTTACTTTTATCTCTGTACTATTATGTTCTATTAACAAATAAGTTTGTGAAAGATCAATATATCACACTTTAAACACCACTGACTTAGATTATAACCCAAATATAACATTTCTCATACTGTATCCAGAAAACTTCATACTATGTCTTTTCTTCAGAAAAGACTAGCACAGAGAAAATATACAATCAACTATAAAAGTGTTTCCATAGAAACCCCAGGCCATAAAAAAAGTAGTAAAAAATAGGGTCTTCGGGCTGGGGATTTAGCTCAGTGGTTCCGGTGGCTGCTTCCCAAGCGCAAGGACCTAAGTTTGATCCCCAGTACCCTCCCCGCAAAAATAGGGTCTTCAAGCAAAGGTATGAAAGTCAAGACAACCTGAATACAAACCCTAATATTAATGATTACTTAGCTGTGATATGACCTTGGGCAAAGTACTTAATTTTCTTAAACCTTAGTTTTGTCATGTATAAAAGGAGATAAGACCTATGCTGTGGTAATCAGAATTAAATATGCAACATATTAAAGGTATCAGAGTGCTTGGCCCAAAGAAAATGCTCAAAAACAGTTACTGCCACTCTTATTCACTTTCTTATTGGTGCGACACAATACCTGACACCCAGAACTTAAAGAAAGGTTTATTTTGGCTCACAGTTTAGTTCATAGTCGCTGCTGGCTACAAGGCAGAAACAGCATGGCAGAAAGGCCTGAGCAGAGGAATGCGGTTTAATCAGCGCAGTCAAGCAGCAGATAAGAAAGGAGGAGCCAGGGAGGGAGATATAACCCCACTTAGGCAGTGAACTGCCTCTAATCACCCCCCATCTACTAAGAGTAAGTCAGCTATAAAGCACCCAAAAGCCTATCACTTTCCAGACAGATGAGATTTTGGAGGCCATTTTAAAACTAGATCATAACAGACATCAGTATTTCCTCTGAAACCAAAGTGATAGTAGGAGCAAGAATGCTAATTACTAGAGTATATTCATTCATTATAATCGTGAGGTTCTGAATCAGTTGGTTACAAATTAGAAAACCTAAGACCCTCACTATCCTATTTTGAACGGTCTCATGAATATAAATTAAAATTAAGTGTTGCAAATTTTTTTTAGAACTTTATTAAATTGCATATCTAGTTGGCTCTCTGTATTTGGGAGTTCCAGATCTATGGATCCAGCTAACCACTGTTTGAAAATTATTCAGATCCCCCCAAATAAAAAAGCCCCACTATGTGCCTCTACAAAACATACAGACTCTTTTGGTCTGAGAACTGAACCTAGAGCCTTTTCCATGCTAAGCATACACTCTACCACTGCCATTATTCCTTAAACAATACAAGGTAACAATTACTTATACAGATGCTCCATATTATAAAAGTAATCTGGAAATAATCACAAGTATATAGGATGACACACATAGGCTATATGAAAATATGATATTCTATATAAGGGATTTGAGTATCTATGGAGGCAACTCCTAGAACTAACCCCTGTAGATACTGAGGACCAAATGGCATTTAATACACATATAAGTATCGGCCATAAAACCATCACCACAGTTAAGATTCCTCATCATAGTCACAGAATATTTCCATCACCCTAAACACCATATTGAACACTTCCATTGGCCACAAGTAAATCAAAGTAGTAACTGTATCTTTCAGTAGTTATTAATCACTTTTCCTATCTCATCTGTAGTTCTTTTTGATAATTTAGTCCTAGTTCTTTTGGATTTACAACTCAAGATAAATTGGGCCTGACTTGTTATAAAACAATTTAGCATCATTTCTGTTTCTCTCAAATATAAAAATGAAACAAAATAGCTATTTATGATGGTGGAGGGGCATAGATCTCTCTGCACAAATGAGACCCTATGAAAATTATCAGGGTGTAAAAAGCTAAAAGTTTTAAAATAAATGAAATATTGCATCAAACCATCTGAAGTTTAGAAATTTTCATTTAATAGTTATGAAAAGTAACTACTTTCATAACAGCTACAGAAAGATACTCTGGCCAGTTTTCTTATCAGTCACCAAGCTGTCCACTTCCTTCTCCCCTTTGCCATGAAAGACAAGAAGGTTGAAAAGAAAGAAATATTCACTAATTGCTAAATTTTAAAGAAGTTTTTCAGGACTATTACATTCCAAGGATAGAAATAAATTGTTGCAAGCCACCAAGCAACTGCAGCATGGGGGGGCAGGAGAACCTGTTGATTATGATATTAAAACTTTTGTTTTTGACTAATGGAAAATCATTTAGTAATTGCTACCATTTGATAAGTTGATGTGACTTACTAATGTGAATTACTAAATCTTATTTTGGTTAAAAGTTCTGAGTTTCAATACTGACACTGTCAAAAATAATCTTTAGCAAATTATTTGACTAATTCATAAAGTTAGTCACTCCAGAAAACTGGAAGCTACTTTAAAGAGTTAAACATGTGGATCAAATTCAAGACAAACCAGGCATTTCATCAACATAGGTTATGGCTGCCCCCTATATCCCTGATGCTCTGTACTTCCCCTATTGGATCCAATTTCTCATACCTGCTCTTTCAAACCACCAAGTGATATACACTCTAGAAAACTCCAGATATATGGCTGATAAATCTTCAGCCTTCTCTGAATGACTTGTGGCCTAGTGTTAATCATTTTCCAAGCATACGACCACTTTGGATGCAGTAGTAGTAGAAGTAGCATTTTAGCTAGCCCAATAGTGTATTTACTAAATGCCAGGCACTTTGCAAATGCTTTGCTTATTTTAATTCTTTTTATTTGATCCTATGAGGTGGGTACTATAGTTTCATTCACGGATACATGTAAAGTGAAACACAGAATTATGGGAAATAGCTAAGAAACAGAGTTGGAAGAGTCCTAACTCTTAATCATTATTGTTTACTCTCACAGAGGTCATTTTCCTTCTCACACCTATCATTTCTCAGATGGTAAAAGAGAAAATTTTTTCCTTGCTCCTTCTGGTTATATTTTAAAGGCAAAACCTGAGTTGTTTTTTGTTTTTTTTTTAAATTTTTTGGTACCAGGGATTGAACTGGGGTCCTTGCGCTTGCAAGGCAGGCCACCGAGCCGCTAAGCTA